AAAAAACGCCCGCTTTCGCGCCCCCAAGTGGCGCGCCTTTTTTTTGAAATTTCGAAGCAACGCGCGCGCCCCGCCACATCTATCAGCACTTAGACAGGCCAACACGCTTCCCGCATAAATGGACACTCGATGAAACCGAAGAAACTCTGACAACGCACCTCGCGTCAGCAGAACCAAGATTCAAAGTACAGGACAAATCTACCTGGCACCTTACGAACTCCCCGCGCCAGGTTAAGACCCTTAGCACGAGGAGTGGGGGGCAATTGATGAAGGAAGATTTGGCCCGACCTCACAAATCATGGCACGTGGCAAAAAAGGCAAGTAGCTCGGCACTTAAAACAGCGTACCGAGGGTACAAACGCCAAAGGGAATGGGCCAGCAGGTCCGAGCTCCCTAGCAAGGGGCCTGGACTCCCTACTTAGTGGTCGAACTCTCTGCAAGGTGCCCGAACTCCCTACTTGATGGTCGAACTCTCTGCAAGGTGCCCGAACTCCCTACTTAGTAGTCGAAACTCCCTGCAAAGGTGCCCGAACTCTCCCTTAGGCCCCGAGTCACACAAAGCAGAGACCCGAACTGGCCCGTCTTATGACAGTTCGGGGCCCCCCTTATCCGAACTCGAGACTTTGCCTCACGCACCACTCCAGGCACTTCGCTTCCGGAGCATTGAACTGGACGAACCACGACCGTACCTGGCACCAAAGGAGTCCGTATCCAGGGGCGGCGCACCTGGCTGACTTGGGATCTGACGCTTGACGGCCGCATTTCCAACGACCACCTGCCACTGTCACCTGTCACCATTGCCTCCAGTTACAGAGATGGCTCCGACAGAAGGAGCAGTGACGGTTCTGCCCCAACAGAGGCGATGATGCCCGAACTGGCAGAAGCACGGAAATACTCATTCTCGACCTGACAGGAGTCTAGGAGTGAGTGCACGAGGTGGTTATAAAAGGCTCTCCACCCCCAAAGAGGAGGTATGCAAACTTTGCGCTATCTGGTTTATCTTGCCTTTGAAAGATTCTAACTTAAGCTTTGGAACCTTTACCTCGGGTTCTCCCCGGAGCTTCCTCATCTCCCCCGTTTCAGGTTCTCTGCTACTCGGTTCAGAGGCAAGATCACGGACAGCTAAGACCGACCGGATTGCGCATCATCAGAAGCAACTAGATCTCTCTACGTTGTAAGGTGGCGCTTGAAGTTGAATAGTTGAAACTCAATTTCGAAGGGGCAAACGGTAATGGATACTCAGGGAGTGATTGGATTCCTTTTGATATGACAGAGCAATTAGAATAGATGGAATATCACCTTCTGAAACGAATTCATCAGTCCAACTAGAAGGTCTGTTGAAGCTGGATATCCAAGCAGTTACGATTGAGGGAGATGCACTGCTAGCTACTCATAAAAGCTCTGTTGGAAGAGGTTGAAAAATGTTAATCTTTCATGGTGCCTGAAACATATTCTCTCTGAGTGCAGAGTTATCAACATCATCAACAGAATCTCCCGGTGCTCTGTGGTGTTATTGTTCCTAGTATCTGCTAAAAAAGCAGCAGCTTTTTATGGTAGCAAGATTTGCTCTCTTTCTATTCTTAGAATACAGACTTTGTCAAGAACTCCATTTAATTTCTAGAGAATTGTATTGCATCTGATTGTAATCTGAGCACTTAAGCAATGGATTTTGCCTCATTAGGCTTTGAAAAGCAAAATCATTGGTGCTGTAAGTTTATTTTTGTTGAGCCAAATCATCTCTTGGTCGCCATCCTTGCAATGGTTCTCGGGTTCCTATTAATTTTATTCTTATCCAATTATTGACGTACTTCGTATTAAAGGTTTTGGTTTTCGATAGTTTGTTGCATCCATCCTTACTTTGTCATTGACCGGTGTAATTAGTAATTACTCCTCAGCTGATAAGTGATAACGATTGCAGAATGGGCAGTGCGGTTCTCTTTAATCGTCTAACTCCTGATTCTGAATCTGAATTAATAGAGAACCCTCTTCTCTTTTCGGTTCCTTTCACCAACCCACGTCCATGAACTTTCGAAGTTAAGCTCAATCCGTAGTTCTCTGCCATATATACAATCACCATCATTCTCTTTCTCTGACTGCGACATAACTAACCAGACAGTGATGGTACGGTAATTGTTGTTGGTGAGGGCGCCATAACTATCAGTCTATAACTGATAGTTATATAACGTAACGTACATATGTGTTTGTTGTTTGACTCTGCCATGGTAAGTGGTGAATTTCTCTCTCAGTCTTCCAAGTCTGATAGAAAAAGTCATACTTCAGAGACTTTTTCTTTCTTTAAAGCCATATAGCGTAGGGGCACTGATGAAGGGTCATCAAAATTTAAATCCACTCTCTCTCAGTGGTCCCTTTTGTAAAAGAAGAGTCAAGAGTGTGGGAAGAGTCTGATGACCCATCTTATCCTTCATGCCCATATTGGAAGTTTGAATTAATCTATCGGTCATGGAGGCCAATTGATCTGTCAAATCTGTTCCACTCCACTTAGTTCTTAAGAACCCAGTGCGCAACAAAGTTACTGGGGGGCCTTACAAAGACAAAGTTCCAACGCATCCATATTCTATAGCCGACCAGAATCTTCTCTCCTGTCACTAGTGTTTGCAGAGCTGGCTGCCGGCCGACTTGAGCCCCATGGATCATTCATGCAATACGAGTATTATGTGTGAGAGAGAGAGAGAGAGGGAAGTTTGGTGGGTTTACATCTGTTTGTCCTCTCATTCATCTGCTTTGGAGAAGTTGGGTAAGCTTTTAAAAGCTTCTCGCAGTACTGATCTTAAGTCAAGTATGACTGTATGAGACGTGTCAGCAAATTCTTGATTTAAAACTCATTTCATTTTAATGCAAAGAATTAATGGTGCTAGGATTTCTAAATGAGCACCTGTGCACCAAAACTGTAGGTAACTTGCTACCGATCCTTAAATAGCTTAAATATAAAAATTCCTCATCAAAATTTCAAGACCATGCAGTTTGGATTGGCCTTTTGCTTTCATCTTATCTTGTTTTGCTAGCAACAAGCATATATCATACTCCTTATAAAAAGAAAGCGTATGATTTATCATGGGTAGTATATTTTTGATGGCTGCTGCTTAATGTCTCGAGGGGGTAATATATTAAAATTAAATCAAAAGCATAAGATTCTCTTTAACCGGTTATATCACTCCTTTCATTTCTTCTTGTCAAAACACTGAAAAAATTGCCCTGAAGGGAATATCAAGCTCACACTGCTAAGTATTAAAACTTCATGACAGATCTGAGGGATAAAGTCAGAAAACTATTTCTTTCCGAGATCAAAGACATTTCAAGAATCAAAGCCTTGTAGATTTAGTCACCAACATAATAGGGTAGGGTAGTACTGAAAAACAAACACTAACAACTCATATCCATACTATATATATGTAGTAGTTGGAATAATATATAAAAATGAGAGACCAATACCCAGATTTTAAGCTATTTTTGTGGAGGTTTTGTAGCCTTGAGCTGAACAAGAGGTGTTTCATAGTACTGAACTAAACTCAAGGAGAAGACTATGGAGAAACAAAGCATGGAACTTGATCTTGTTCTTATGGAAAATCTATGGTTTATGGTGCTGGGTGTAAATATAGTCCAAATGAGCCTCCGAAGTCTTCCTCCTCTTTAGGCATTCTTCATCCGCGTTGTCACATTTCTCCATTCCCATCAACTGTTAAAATTATCCAAAAAAATGCAAATTACAGTATAAGAAACAGAAGATCAGAAGTCCAAACTCCAAAATGAAATAAAGCAAGAAAAGAAATTATTTTTTGGGAGGGTGAGAGTGTGGGAACAGGACTCACATTCAAAGCATCCTCTTCGACTGTTTCTAACATGAGATCTCGATTAAAAACCCCATTATCCTTTACATCTTTGTTACCTATATATAAGCAATACACTGAACTTTTAGTTCCACAAAAAGTAGTAGCAAAAAGATAAGAGACAGATAAGATGATGGATGGTTACTGGTTAGCAGAAGAAAGACATTTTCTTGATCAATTACCTTGTTTTCCTTCCAAGAGACGAGCGTTTATTGCTGAAAAGGAGAGCAGAATGAAAAGAAGGAAGAGGAGAAGAAGCCCACGAGACTGAAAGGTCTTCGTCATGGTTACAGATTCAATACCAGATGAGAAGAGATGCAGATAAAAGATATGGAGAAGCAGAAGCAGAGAGAGGGAGAGGGAATGATAGATAGAGAGAGAGACTTGAGAGAGAGAGAGAAGCTTGAAGGGTTGGTGGTGGGGGATGCAGGCTGGAGATATAAATACATGCAGGCGCACCCGCAGTAAGCCTGTAGGTCACATGAAAACTCCAAAGAAGGCAGTTACGACACCTCAGCTGGTGGGTCCAACCCACCACCACCTCCGTACCTACACCCACCAGGCCGCCATGCTTTAGTGTCATGTGATCGCACCAGGAAGGAAGGAAGGAGAGAGAGAGAGAGAGAGATTAATGAAGGCCAAAGAAACAACGTCGACAAGGAAGAGAGATCCTACACGTTTCAGTCCCACTGCTCAGTCCCCACACGCTCTCACAGTCTCTGCAGCATGGTTTTTGACGGCATTCACAAGTCAACCTTTGTAGTTTTGGACTGTATTTCTCTAGTCCGATGAGTGCCGACAGCTGTTCTCCATGATCACACGCTTGGAATTTCACAATGCTGGTAATCCAATGAGAATGAGCGCGCTCTCACTCGTAGCCTCTAGGTGTGACTCTTACATTATACTTTAAATATGGGCAATTGGGCACGGCCACGGCGGGGCCGCTCGTGACTAATCCCATGAGAGCGCGCTCACCTAATCATTACTTGGTCCTTTCTTCTACACATGCCAAAAGCCCAAATCCCCCTCCCCAAGGCTTTGGAAACACTATTAGGTACCAACTAACTAGCTCATGCCTCATGGTTTCATGCCTTCCAATTCCATTCCACAGAAGATGAACATCTTCAGTTTAACCATTATTTTTTCTTTTTAATTAATATCTTTTATAGATTAATAAGAAGAAATAAGATTAAAATATACTAGAGTACATGCTTTATCATGCATTTACACGAAGGCAAGCAATAGCTCAGTTAAAGAAACAATTCAGAAATTCAGAGTTCAGAAACTCTATAAAATAATTTATTGAAAACTCTGAAAAGTTGTAGTATAAAAACTAATAAATAAATAAATGATATATAAGCTTTATCAGATAATAATATAGTTTAATTGGGTTATCTCCAATGCACCTGAGATTTGATCATGCTTCTCTTTAGGAGGCTTGAGTGATATTCTCCGTGCAAGATACCAACTTGTTGGGTTCTGTGAGGGATGTTTGTTCTTTGAATCTGCTGGAAGCATCTCTCTCTCTCCGAAGAACTGAGTTGGAAAACAGAAAAAGACATGTCTGCTAATCCCACATCAACGTTATTTAATTGATAATAAATCTTTAAACAAACAGTTGGGGCTTGTGGTGGTAGTGTGTTACTGCAGATGCAATTCCTATTTTTTATGTCATCGTACCGAGTCTTAGTTGTTCACCTGTTCTTGGCAGGGGTTTTAATGCAGTAGTAAAACAACAAGCTAGGGTATATAGTAGCTCCAAGTGACGAGGTGGGTAATACATAATTCTTGACCCGACCCATCAACCCAATGGAACCACTCAAGAATCAAGCTGTTAATATTCCTGATTTTAGCAGGTTGGTTCATATTCCCAAACCCAAATGCCCAAATACCCAATTGATGCATGTGAGAACTTCTCAACCTCTGCCTGGATCCTGATCAACTTGGGTTAAAGTTAAACCACCCCCAGTGATGACTTAGTTGAGGTTGGCAAAGGACATTTGGATGATGTTTCCTTATCATAATCTTTTTCCCTGTCAATGTCTAATGCAGAAATGCAGACTGAGAGTGATTTAAAAGCTCTAGAGCATGTGCTTGTAGCTTTGTGTAGGTAGGTTTCGGCCCACAGGAAGGTCATCATATTAAATTGTTTTATCAGCCAAATTATGGAGGATGGGACAACAGAGCTCCATGTTTGGAAAGTTGGAGGAAGTAAGAAGTTAATCTGGCACCAACCATTAAATGGGGGGGTTTGATATGTTGGTGGTGAGTGGGTTTCGTTTTGAATTGAAGAAGAGATACCTTTCTTTTCAATTCACATTTGCTTTTGCTTTAGGCATTGTTATGTGTGCATCACAAGTARTAGTTTTAATTTAGGGAATCTGTCCTAACTTCAATACAATGGCATCTCGAGAAAAGAGGAGGCCCTGCCTTTCCCTTTCTTCTTCTTGATCAGGGAAAAAGAGAAGCTTGTGGTCTTGATGCTCTTTCTTACTACTATTTCTAATTATTACCATTGATCGATTAAAAAATTTTTAAGTGGTCTTGACTCTTGATGCTTCCTGTTCCCCTTTCATATTACTTCTATTGCACCCTCCTCTCTCTCTCTCTCTCTCTCTCTCTCTTAGAGTTTTTATTTTTATTTTTTCCCTCAAAGTGGTCGTGAGGCTTTATGCTCTCCTTTCCTACTACCAAGGCTTTATTTGTGGTGTTTTTACACTTTATGCTCCTCTTTTCTACTACTAAGACTTTTAAAATGTTTTTTTACAGACCCCCCCCCCCCCTCTCTCTCTCTCTCTCTCTCTCAGTCTCTCTCATATATCTGGATAGGCATTAATAATAGTCCTCTTTACTTTGGGCATACAACCAGGTGAACAAGATTAGACTTTAGTCAGCATGAATTCTTATTATGGTCTGACTTATATGATATCTGCATGTTACTGGCAATACCATCATCCTATATCTATGAAAACCACTCTGTTTTGATAAATCCCTTTTTCTATTCAGCAATTGGAAAGTGGAAACAACTGGAACAATATGAACATAGTGGAGAAAAAAGCATGTAGTGGATAGACATTCACGCTTAGTTATTGGCTCCCTCGTCAGAACTTATCAATACATGATTCCTCTCTCCTTTTTTTAGTTTGAGCTCCGAAATTAGAACGGTGATTCCACTTGACACCTGGGGGAGGGAGGAAAGTAGGACAAAAAAATACCAGTACTGAAGAAGGCTGCGTCTGTTTTCATAAAAAACTGATGAAAAAATCAGACAAATATTCGAACTATTAGATATGTATCTATACATGCATATTTTCTCTTTGTAAATATACTTAATTTAATTTTTTTATGCTAGTGGTGTAATATATTTCAAAATATTGGAATTTCAAATATAAATAATTTATTAAAATATATTAATTTGATGGGTTTGAGTACTATACTAGAAAGACATGATATCGAAAAAAAAAAAAAAAAAACTTGCATTCAATCAACCAAGATGGCAAAGAATGAGGATTTCACAGGGGGTAATTTGATTTGAACAAAGCTCTTGGATATCATACCTTTCAGGTATCAGAGATTTTCCCTAATTTAATATTTATTGAATGTCCCCAAAGTGATATACTTTGGAGGATTGGAATTTAATGCACATCAAAATCTGTGACATTTTATGTTYCGAGTACCAAAACTCAACTAGTTTCCATAACTGTCTTAAAAAAAGAAAAGGTTCCACAAGTCTAAATGAGTGTCATCGTGCATGCATTATAACAATGTACAATTGTAGGGTATTAAATGTTATCAGTCCAAGCAAACATTCCGCTTGATTATGTATGGTCTAAGACCGATTGTAGGGACCATTCTTTCTATCAATATCAGTCCCATACTACAGCACTGATGTGTACTGATGAAATGTCTTTATGCGAGTTGCAGAGGCCAGCCATTGAATTTGTAAGGCTCAGTTTCGAAGGAGTACAAATACAAATATCTATATATTTGTATTTATATTCCTTCCAAATGAAGCCTAAGAAAAAAGGGTCTCTTTTCTCACAGAGATTCATGGTGCAAATTCCACATGTGAAGACGGATGCAAGTGACAAAATTTGGAGCCTTTCGATCCTACCATCTATATTGTCACGTGTAAACAAAGTGTCAAATAATTCAGTTCAGTTCTCATCTATACAATCAACTGTTGTCAGACTTGGATGGACCAAATGGTTAGACCGTTCAAATCGGGACCGGCAACAAAAGAATTGGGATCTCCTGTAAGTAAAATCTTTGCTTAATATCATCCAGTCACACATTAGAAATATCTCTACATTTATGTTAAATTTATGGGAATGTTCCCAATGTAAAGTGGGATTCCGTGCTTTTGCAGTGTGTAGAGATTTTGCCAGGGAATCCCTTTGCGCAACAAATAGTTCTTGGGATGATCGATGAATTGTGAGATCGATGCATGGTCAGATTTACACAAAATTCACATTAGCAGGTATGAATAATGTATATTTCCATGTAAAATAGCTTCGAAAAAAGCTTAAAACAAAAAGAGATAGGAGTGGCAACGGGACTGGTTTGGGTGGGGATAATATTTCCGTCCCTGACACTGATTATCAAATTAACCCCGTCCCTCTCTTCAATCCCCGTCGGGGATAAGATTTGTCCTCCTTCCCCGATTCACGATAGGGATGGTTTCCCGTGGGGACCCAAATCCTCGAATTTTTTTTTAGATAACAGTATTTATATAAAAAATAAATTTATTTAAAATAAATAAAAATTTAAATTATAAATAATTTTTTAAATAATTTTGATATATATATATATATATACACATACATATACATACATACATACGCACATACATGTATATATACATAATTGGGGTCAGGGTGGGGCGGGAACCTCAATCCCCACTCCCGACCCGAACTTCAACCCCAATCAGGGATTCCAATTAATCCCCGTCCCCACTCCACAACATTCTCCATCCCTAAAAAGAGATCATCTAGAATTAGGGTTGCTACCAAAAGAAAAGGTTGGGTTTAGCACAGGTATGGCCCACCTTGAACTCGCCCTAACTAGTTAAGTGCATTCAATCAAGTCTAATCTACAAATATTTCATTGATGCAATGTCAATGAGCCATTCAACCTAAAAGATTATGCTGTTTGGTGATGCCCTTGCAATTGGATATGTTTTTATTCTCTAACATGACCCCTCATGTAAAAGCCCATTGGGCTTGAAGTATTAACAATCATAGGCCCACCTATACCATGTGTGGAAATTGAATAATTACAATAACTAAGACCAAATTTTAAACACTTGACCACTTGGTCAAATAAACTTTGATACATTTTCAAAGAACTATTCAACCTAAAAGCTAAAATGATTGGTTGAGTAAGCAAATATAATAAAT